AGCAGGGACGCCCACCCGAGCAGCATAGTGCGCTGCCCGCGGGGAGGGGCTGCGCCACCGGGACTTTATGGGTATTTGTTACTCGCTAGGAAGTTGCTGGGCGGGGGATGGGGGCATCCACACACTCGCTTGCAGGTTGAGTCAAGTGTCGGAGGGAGGGGGACCCGCAGCAGCGCCAGCCTGTTCCGGCGGCGACGCCAGCGTGCGAACTTTTCTTTGTTGGTTTAGAAAATGTTTGGATTTGTGGTCGAGAAAGAGGGGCAACGGAAAACGAAGCAAGAAAGAAAAAGAGAGAGGAGAAAAATAAAGAATGGTAAAGGCCAGGTGGTGGAGATTCAGCAAATATAGGAACGGGAGAAAAGCGAAATGCAGTCACAGTCGTCGCACCAAGAAAAGTAGAGAAGAAATCGCGCACCCGGCTGGCAACTGGTGCGCGCCTCCTCCTGCCCCCGTGTCGCTCGGGGACTTGCCGGCTGCGGAGGTTCCAAGCTCCGGGGCCCACTTCCTTTCTTATTTTGTGGATTTCCTTGGTTCTGCTGGAAGCAGGAGGAAAGGAAAAAGAGACGGGAAAAGGCCATCAAAATTAAAACAAAAACGCAGGGGGTGGCCCTCGGCGAGCTGGCACAGCGGCGCCTCCGTGTCCCTCCGGCGGCGGCGTCCTCCTGCCCGCGGTCATCCCCAGTCCGCCGCTGCGAGCGCCGAGAGCAGCGCGAGCGCTGTGAAGATGCGAGGAGGTGGAACAATGAATTTATAGCGGCATGCCATCCTGCAATGGCAATTTCAACAGTTCGTCACTGCACGCTGCCTCTTAAAGGGAGAGCTTCCCCACCACTTCCACCCTGCCCCTCCGCGCCTAATCAGAGGGGGAGGTGAAAGGAAGGAGGAGGGGGGTCGAGGAAAGCCAGACCGAGAGGGAGCAAAGGACCGGGACCCACGAAGGGGCAGGAGGGATAAACTGGGAGCTAGGGCGAGCAGGGAGAAAAAGTATTTGGGCAAGAAAAACAGAAATATTTCCTTGGCCTCATTGAAAGCCACAGCGACTCCGGGTCTCTGTGCTATTTCACAACCAATCGGGGTTAGCTAACCTCGGCTTACCTCATCTCCTGAAGGGATGTTTTGGTGTGTTTTGAGAGTTATTGAGACTTCAAGTCTCTCCCTGCCTCCTTCTCGCCTGCTTTTCTTGCTCTCGGCAGGAAGTTCCCGCCGCAAGTTTTTCCCTTTTGCACGCTGGCGCGGAGAGCCCTGGACCCGCAGATCCTGCGGCTCCGTCCAGCCCGCGCGGTCCGCATCCAGCGCGCCCCGGCTTCCCCCACTCCTTTCGCTTCTTCTAGCCCTCCCGGGACCCGGTTTCCTGTGGCCTCATTCCCCAGCCTTTCTGAACTCATCCGGTAGCAGGCTCCGGGCTCCGGGTGACTAACTTCTCCCGGCCACCAGCAGAGCGGCGGGGCAGCGGGACAGCCGCGGGCGCTTCCTGGCGCGTCTCTCACCCGGGGCAGGTCGGCCTGTGGCTTGGGAACTCTGCGGCACTAAGTGCAGGGGCCGCCTGGCTCCCCTTACTTAAGCGAGTCCTTCCATGGCCCGCCAGCAGTCACTTAATCCCAGCCCTGGAACTTCCTTTGCTTTAGAAAGGCGAGGGTTACCTCTTGAAGGGAACTCAGCTTCATCATTTTTTCCCCCCAAAGATCTAAAAATTGTGTGCTCATATTCTTTTTCTTCCTGCTTAAATAATAACTAAACGAGAAATATACATACATTTCTGTGTTTGCTAAAATAAACTTTCATTGCCAAAGGCCTTGAAGCTACTGTCATTCCCAGAAATTATTTATTGGAGAAAAATATTAGGAGGGGCCGGAGGCTTGGCGCTTATTAGCATTCCGGTGGCATTGCCACTACTACTCCTTACTCGGTCCTCTTTGTTTCCCCTAATTTTCCATTCCAAGAAGGTAGAAGGAAAATCCGGTGACTTTCTAACTGCTTCCTGGTAATAGCTAAAAGATTACCACGGGGGAGGAGCTCCCGTCCCACCCATTCTTCAGTCCAAGGGCTGCACCGATGGACCACACACCTGAAATAATGAACAGACTTCTCTGATACCATGGACGGCAGGGATTCCCCTGTAGTGCCCAAACTGCTCACTTCTCTGGAGGATACTGTGAGGGTCCAGCACTGGTTTCAGGTCCCCAAAGTGGAGAGGAACCTCTGGCTGGAACTCCCAATCACCCAATAGAGACGCACACAGCCTGGAGCACTCCCCAGTCCTGTGGAGGCGTGAGAAATGTGTCCTGACATCTGGTTCTCACTTATAAATTAAGCGATCCCCTGGGTCCCGGGAACACCCAATAGCCTCTGATGCTATCTGAACTACCTCAGGATCTTGGAAGAAGTTGCTATTGTTGAAAGCTGTTGCTTTTTAATTCTCAAGTTTAACCCTTCGGCCTCTTGGTCGTCAGTTGCCTAAGGTCAGTCCAGGGAGATGAGTCAGAACAGGAGAACAGGGGAGGTTCGAGCAGTCTTCTCTCCCGTCCAAGCCTTCGGCCTTCTGCTTAGCATCTTACTTCAGGATCATGGCCTTGTACTTACACATAGCAAACTTTAGTTTTTGCCAGTTCAAGAGAAAAAGAGCCCAACATTTGACACTAAACACTATCTCTCAAATGACTTTGATTCGGTAAGCTTAACTATTTCACCATTGTTTATCTCAAAGTATAGTTTTGATGACATTTCAGGTGACAGTCGTTTAAATTTATTAATGATAGTGTTTTTTTTCATCCACAGACAGGTTTCTTATTTTGAATTTAACAGTATTTACCATTTGCAGGAACTCTGGTTCAGAGATGAAGCCAATTGTTATCAGTAGATACAGTACTTGGAATCAAAGCTGGAAAATACAAACATAGAGAGGGGAGGAAAGCAAATGAATAACACCTGTAGGTGCTTTCAGCTCTTCGTTTCCAGTACAGCTTCTCTTCATACTTTTTCTATATCCTTGCAAATAATATTTTCTCAAATTTCCATTTTCTAAAGTGCCATTTCCTTACCCCACCCATATCTATGATTTTCATGATAAGAGTGAGGAAGTATCTCACAGTAAAGTATTCCCCTCCAGCCAAACACCTGCTCTTTACCTCCCATGTAGAAGAGTCACGGTCTCTCAGCTTTGTTTTCCTTTCCCACATCAAGATTCCTACTCACCACTGCTGCTTTCTGAGCCTCCCTGGTACCTTCCCCTTGGTAGCAGGATTCAGGAGGTTGTGAGTGGGAACCAGTCACCTCCCACCTGGGGCCCTCATGAATCCTTTCAATACTGTAAATGAATCTTGCCCTCCTGTGTCACTTTGCTCAGCAAATTCTGGTTCATGGAAGACTTTGCTTCAAAACCAAAGGCTACACACTATGGCATTAAGCAAAAGTGTACATTTACTATTAGAGCTTTCATATCAATCCCACTTTAAAAGAGCAAGGCTGCACTTGAATAAGCCTTCTTCCCTTCCTTTTCCACCCATTCCCTCCCTCACCTCCTGCAATATTCCTTAAGGGCAGAACATGCACCTCGACACACCCATGTGCATGCCTCACACTCATCAACACACACAGCACATGTACAAAGATGTGAATGCACCCACACGGATCCTAACGCACTTTTCCATCACGCTTGTGCTGATGAGTGAGCTCGAAGTGTGGATCAAGGTCCAGATAATAGGAAAAGGGATTAGAATAATTCCTCCTGTCCTCTTGCAAATAAACTTTCCTTAGACCTACATTATACAGATTTTTTTTTCTCAGAGACATTTACTGCAGATCTGATAAAATGATTTTCTCCACTGCCTGAATAGGGCATATGAGAGAGCAATCTTATGATGGACATAATGTACTTTTAAAGCCATTTTACTTAATGTTATAAAGAATAAATTTTTAGAAGAGCTAGATTTTCATTTTTCCTTATGCACACAAATTTTATACTGTATGAAGTCTTCAAATGAATAATGTACACAGGTATTATTTAAGACATAGAGGTGTTATCTGTAAAGAAATGCCTACAAGTCATTTTTTATGCTGACCAGCTGTGAAATGTTTTAGATTTTCTCACACAATTATGTAAATATTTCTTATTTGTATGAGCTACCCAGATTCTTTTTTTCTTTATTTTCCATAAATTATCTCAAAATCAAACCTTCCTGGAAACACATGGAAACTCAGAAATTTTTAGCAGAGGCTAATTTAAAACATTTGAGGTTATTTTTTTCTTCATGATGACAAATTTCAAGCAAAAATTTCAGAGTGCTTAGTAAGTAGCAGTTGTAATTGTAGTAGGAATTGTTGTACCTTAGTACCACAATCACACACTTTTAAGTTAGGTTTGCATTTAATATATAAGTCCAAATTAGGCTGTCTTCCTGGAAACTACTCAATCTCTACACGTCAAAGATATGTCTCATTATAGAAAAAATGAGAAGTCAAAGTCAGTCCACACAAAATTGATGAATGCCATTTGGTCCCTACCTCACTCACCCATGGCTAATAAGGAAATGGAGACAGTGGCTACCCCATCAGTGTTTGATTCCCATCCACATGACTATGAGTTGTTCAGATGGCCAGTGAAAGATTGATACAGCCTCATTTACTTCTGTCAGTGAACTGTTGCACAACTCTCTACGATACTTTTCTAGACAGGTATTGTAACAAGAGGAAAAGTTGTAGAGTCTACAATCCTAGATAGTAGCCAGGGGAAGAGAATGAGATTTTATTCCTCAGGAAAAGCTATTTTTTCCTACACCTAGCTTCCAAACTATCCCCTCCAAATAACATGGGGAATGAAGTGATAATGCACTTGTTCCAGTGACTAAAAGAAAATCTGATCTAAGCCTCAGAGGGGAAATTCCTGCAAGGATTTCCCTCGCAGGAGTTCACTATGAACTCTGCCC